TAACTTTCACAAAGCAGAAGGCTTGTCAACTGTTAGTATTTTTGCTGGGCCATGCCTGTCTGTCTGTGTAGGATTAGCTAAAGCTTCTGTAATGCTTTGTACTGCAGTGCAGATCTGTATCCTAAAGGCCAAAGATAGATAAATTCAAGTTTGTTTGTTTCTTAGAACTTTAATCCAAGAACGCTTTGAATTATAGAACTTCTTTAAATGACTTTTCTGTGAACATTCTAAAATATGAAAATATGAGTGATAATATTTCTCTTATAGCAGAATTGTATTTATTTAGAGTTGTTGTTGTTAAACTACTGCTCTACATGTTTATTTTTTTTAAATGTTCCCAGCAAAACATCTGTTTTTAGAATAAATGTGAGGTCTACAAACCAGAGGCGATTGCTGTCCTGTATATATATTGTTGTCTTAAACATTTGATCCTTATTTTACTAGTTTATACCCCCATGAAATTATCTAGTGAAATATGTGCATTTTTTATAAATGGGTCTGCTTTATTTATCCAAAACTGAAATTACACTCTGTTAATTACCTAGCAATTAGAAAATTACTTTTACCATTGCTTTGTCACTTGGCATTGAGGTATAAATTTGGCACTAGCTAGTAACGCATTCACTAAGTTTAGTCTTAGGCTATGTGTTTTCAGTTACTTTGTATTAGGGCCCAGCATTTGATAAATAACAGTTGTAAATTTTTTTTCTAGAATGTGAAAAAACTCTGGGTTCTTACTGGCATAAGCTTGCTTTAGTCATCCTTTGTTCTCAGTTTGCTCTGTGCTCTTCCCTGTGAATTCCTCACTCCCATGGCTCAGCTGCCCCTCCTTAGACGCTGCTTACTTCGTTAAGTGACACTGTCATTGTCGCGCTCCTGGGTTAGTCCCGTAGCCTCCTGTTCAGGTCCTCCTGCCATAGGTTTTCTACCTCTTTTCAGGTTTATTCTCCATATAGTAACTGAAGTGGCCTTTCCAGAAGTTCAGTTTAAGTAATTTTCTGCTTCACTTAGCCACTGGAGTTTTTTCTTTTTTGGGTAGTTTCTCAAATACACCATGTCCACTGGGTATTAACCTGTACTCTTCACACTACCTAAAAGAAAGGTTCTCAATCTTTTGCCTCAATGATTTGTTTATGCTCAAGTCTCAGCTCAAAAAAGCCGTTCTGAGAATCTTCCTGGCCTCCAGCAGAGTGGATGGAGGTGCACACCCTCCGGCCTTCCCCGGCCGGCCTTCCCTCCCCACGGGATCTGTCCCACTGGACTGCACTGCCTGCTCTCTCTGGTTACCTGATTCCTCGGAAACTGGACTTTGTTTCCTCCTCTTTTGTCCTTCTGAATAAAGGACTAGTTTATATGCATCTCCTGTGCGTTTCCTGTAGGGACTCTGTGTGGCTTTGAGGAAGCAGACCCCAGGGCAAAGTGACAGCTGACCTTTCTCATCTACCACACTGTCCCTCCCACCCAACATGGTAGATGCTGAAATAGATAAAGCCAGTGCCGGCAGGACCAGATTGGTTTTTAGTCTTAACCTCTCCTGAATTCTAGTCCCATATTTGTGGTAACTCGTTCTGTCTCTGACATTATCACTAGGATATCGCATGGGCGCTCTAAATTCAGTGAACCCAGACCTCAAGTTCTTTCCCCGGGGGCTCTCCTGCCTTTCCCTCCCTCCTGTTTTTTTCTTTCCTTTCTTCTTTTCTTCTGTCATTGACATTTTCGAACTGGAAACTGCCATATCCTTTATTACCTATATCATCCAGTTTTCAGGTTCCATCAGTTTTGCTTTCCAGCGTATTTTGAAACTCACCCCTTAATGTCACTTTTTCCCCCACAGGTACTTTATTTTAGCTTCCTGTCATTTTCTACCTTACTAATTACGGAGGTTTCTAATTCATTTGACGTATATAAATTTCAGCAGCTTAAAAAGTAGATATATTATTTCAAAGCGTTATAAATTATTTCTCTTAATTGAGAAATAATTGATTTTAAAATATTGAGAAACCACTTTTTTTACTTTTGTACATTTTGACCCTTTAAATAAGCCATAATGTTTTTTCATATGTATTCATTCATTTGGGGACGTTGTTCATTGTCAGGAATAAGAAATTGAAATTATTAAATCAACGATATACAAAAAATTGTATAAAAGATACTTAGTATGAAAGAGGAGAAACTTTTTATTCATAAGCAGTAAAGATGCCACTCTTTTTGTATAACCTGAAATGTCAGCTATATGCTCTTAGAGCTTGCTGGCTTTTTACTAGTCATCCAAGGCAGTTATTATCTCTGGGGGAAACTTTCAAACTGCAATATAAACTCCAGTTCAGTCCAGAAAATGGGCCAAGATGGAGTAAGAGGGACTAGATGTACCTTCTTCCTGAAACAATGAGAAAAATAAACAAACTACATCAAACATGGCAGTGATCCCTGAGACAGGGAACAAATAAGGTGAACACTGCGATTGTTCCAGCTAACTGCCTTAGAAGAATTTTCAGGCCTTAATTCGGCAAGGGGAAACCCAGGAAGGACCTAATGGGTCTCCCTGAATTGAGGAGGTGAAATTGAGATTTTGAGGAAACCAAGGCAGAAGATCTGGTAAGGGAGATCTAACCCCCTCACCAAAGGTCCCCTTATAGTCTTGGGCTAAGTACAAATTAACATATGTGTAAGGAAACTACATAAGCCTGATTAAAGAACCACCCAAAAGGATCAGAGATAATAAACCTAGGAACTCACAGAATCTGTGCTAGTTTCTGTTGCCACCAACCAGAGTGGAAAACCTGTGTAATTCATTGGATATCAATCACAGAAGGACAGTGGTAGGGGAAAATAGGCCCCTACTAAAGGCTGCACTAGTCCTGCATTACAAAGCTGACAAGCAAGCTTGAAGCAACCTAATCCATACAGAATTGAAATCTCTGGAGGAAGGAATCATGGGAGCAGGAGCAGAAAACATATTTGGTGAAATAATAGCTAAAATTTTTCTACATATAGTGAAAACTTTACACGTCTAAGAAGCACAACAAACCCCAAGCAAACACGTACACGCAATAGCACAAAGCTGTATCAAAGTATGTCATAATCAAATTGCTTAATGTCAGTGATAAAGAGAAAGTATTCAAGTATCCAAAGGAAAACACATGTTCAAAGGAACACAGGTAAGGATGATGGCAGATTTCTAGTCTTTAAACAATGCCAGCCACAAAACAGTGGAGCAACATCTTTAAATTATTAAAAGAGGAGGAAAGATGTCAACCTAAATTACATTTTCCTACAAAAGTTTCTTTCTAAAATGAAGACAAAATAAGAGTCCTAAGAGTAACTTAATACTCCCTAGAAGTATCATTTGTAAAAACACTTGATGTGTTATTCGAAGGGAGAAACTGGCTGTGCTATTGATGATACCAAAATT